TGTTACTTATATTACTGTAATTATTATTGTACAGACGACTGAGAAAAACTTTTGACGAAATATGCTTAGTAATCTATTCCCAAATAAAAAGTGTTTTCGATAATGAAGAAAGAATGAGAAGTCCTTGACTATAATTTTTTTTTGTTTAAATAGTAGCTTACTTTTTAAATGATTACCTCACATAAGGATTTTAAGCTGCTGTTTTTGTTTTAAGGTGTTTATGTTTGTATTTAAAAACCTTGTTTGATAGTCCCTTAATTAAGTTAAGGTGATATAACAATTAAGATTTTAATTTCTTATCTGATATTAACATTTTTTCATACTTATTTACAGTCATGGCGAGGATCTTATCGTTACGCCCTTTGCACAAATACTTGCTTCACTTCGTTCTGTTAGAAACAATTTTTTGTCTCTTACTAACGTGCCAACAAACAAGTAAGTAATGCTTATTTTACCTATACTTAAAACATGCAGCATGTAACTTAATATTTTACTATGTCCTTTAACTGTATTTCTTAAAATTTTTTTTTAGTCATAAAATGCATAGTCAGTAAAAGCTACGTAGTTTTTAGTTTTTTAATAAGAACGACAGAAAAGGCTAGATGACAACGAGATTATTTTTGCAATATATGGACGTTAATTTTGGCTGAGGTTCATCATAATGTATTTTACCTATTAACAAAATGATCCCTAGTCCTGAAGCTTAGAAAGCAGATGGTTCTAACATTCTGAAGTAGTAATAAAGATATAGTAGCCCATCATAACCAGTCTCCATTACCTGAACTGGTAGGGCCTTACAAATAGGGCTCTGCATCATTATATACTCTTAAAGAGGAAGAACTATGATCACTCCCTATCGATGCATACTACTTTGAATAACAATATGGATTAAATCTGAAACAAAAATAAGAAAGTGTGTATGCGTATGGGTGTACAGTAACTGGTAAAAGTACAAGTGTTGCAGTTATATCCTGTGGAAGGTAGATGCGAACAGGCAGTACCACGTTAACACGTAGGGCCACGACCTGGGGCCTTCAGACGTGAAGATGCACGAAAGCAGGTAGCGGTTTGGATGGTATGCCAAAAGGACAGAGAAGACGAGGCTGAGTCTGAAGCAGAAATGCGAGATAAGTAATTTTTTGAGAGGACTGGGTCGGAGTGGACTTAAGCAGTAGCTCATGTTTGTTATGTGGAGCACCAGTCGTTCTGTTTTGTCCATAAGATAACGCCGCGTTCGATTTGAAATCTACCACTTTCACAGGATTTTTTTTCAAGTGTTTGTTAGTAAAAGGGGTCGTTTGATTTGGAAAATGAGACAAGTTAGTGGATCATCTTTACGATAATCTCTCGTTGCCAAAGCAATAAATCTCTTGTGGTGGCTTCACAGACATACTTATCTCCGTTTCCTGATAAAATCACTTGTCTTCCTTTTAAGTTTCCTCGTGTATCGTATTACCGTACCACCTACCCAGCAAACCCCGTTAATTTTGCGAGGCGTCCATACTTACATTCTTTTATTTTGTTGATGAGCATCAAATACGATATAGCAATCCAATGGAATGCATGCGCTGAAGTAATTTATGTTAATATTAAAGTATTAAAAGTGAAAATTAAATAACAAAAAGTGAATGAGATATTATATATCTAAATAATTTTTTTGTTTTTTCTTTGTGTGAGACCCTGTTGTTAACATAAGTATAGCGTCGGATACTAGTTATCCGTTTTGATTATCGACGATTGAGCGAAACTGTATCAACTTTTCTTTATTCTATACGAGGTTGTCAATTATCATATAGAAAGTACTGATTAGAAGATGAGCACCAAATTATTATATAGTAAATCCATGATATAACCTTTTTGGACGAATTTTTAAATTGGTTATGCATCGCGTTGTATGTGAACGTGTTGGTATACAGCAAAGATAATGAGTATAAAATGAATAATACAAACAAATTTTCGCTTTGACAAACTTGGGTACTAGTTTACTAGTCAGCTGCTTCCAAAGAAAAATAGACAAGCCAACATTTTTATTTAAACTCACGATTGGATCAAGAATTCTCAGTGGTACTAGGTATATCAGAAAATAAAGGTAAATTTTGGAAGTGAAGATTTTTGTTACAATACCCCGTCACATTGATTTAATTCTGCTTCAAAGAATAGTGATAAACATGTTATATTTATAAAATCCATCTAACTGAAGTATTAGTCCTTCTCTAAAGCATGTAATATCATAACATTGTAAGGTCAAAGATTTTTTTTAATTAGCACTATAGATAAGGTTTTCATAGGTCTTATAGTGTCGATGTGCCAAAAACCTAAGTCCAAACTTGAGGTACTCTACCCCTGACTCTGCTGTTAGAGAATTTATAGGTGTAGATCTCCTACAACCACGAGCCACTATGATACATTCATTCTGAATTTTCTGAAGTTTCACAAATGCTTGTCACTACATGGAGATAGTAAGAACTCACCACATTCTAGTTTCAATCAGACTAAAGATGTGTATAGAGTTATAAGCATGCTAAGGTGCGCACCCTACCGCACTCTTCTAAGACATCCAAGTATCGATACTAGAAAGTTACACTTATTCTGAATGTATTCAGTGTAAAAAAACCTAGTGAATTAAATATCCAAAGTTATTCCTAAAAACTTTATGGTTTATGCAGAGTTAATGATTAAACAATAAACCTTAAATGATATGTTATTTACTTTAATTTTTTTCTTATTTAATATGACTAAGCTACCCATATCCAGTGCTAGGATAAGATTCCTCTTATACAGTAATTTGCAAAGGCTTTCTATTGCTGTTCCAAGAATATAAATTGCTTTACAGATGTTTATATGCATTATATATATATTAAAATATCGTCCGCGAACATAATGATTAATACACCATCATTTTGAAGATCAGAAACAAATCTCGTGTGTATTGAGAAGAGTATGGAACTCGATGCAAAATTTGAATTTTTTCTTAACTTGAACTACTTATCAGATAACATTTTGTTATGTTAAATAAACTAGTTTAGTCTTGAGCATACCATTTTCTTTAGAAGTTTTAATATGTATGACACTAAAGCAATAGGTTAGGCTTTACAACTACTCTCCTTAGGTAGAAAAACAACTCAATTATTATTTCATGTGTTGGGGAACAATCCGGTGTTCGTTAAATCATTAATTGTATCTACAAGAACCCGTTGAAAGCATTCTGGCATTGCTTGTAAAATTAAATAATCCAATTTGTCTTCACCCATTGCATGCCCTTTCATCGCTGAGTCTAGTGCATATTCTAGGTGACTATCTCCTGAGGAGAGTGCTCGCACTATTTAGCAGATGTATCTTTTAATAAGAAGCTGAGAGAAACAAAGCAGATAATGTATGAACTTCTAGAACAACTCGCTTTGTTTACTAGTTTTACATCAGTCAATACTAAGGTGTTATATGTGCTTCTGTAATTGGGCATCAAAGTATTGGATGTATTGAAACCATTGAACAAGTTAACTTTCCAAAGTTTAAGAGTATCAATAAACTAGCAGTATCCACATAATGATGTTTCTCAAATAAAAATAAAACGGTAATTTTCAAATAATTATGATATGCATTACTCGTTTTTATAACCTTATTTTAGAAAACTTCAACAACTAATGGTGCTGTTGGTGGTTTTTACCTACAGTGGCCCCAAAAGCAGTGTGTTGGATTTTTGTAATGCTTCAGACATTTTAGTGAATTAGGATCGTTCTACCGAAGATGGTTTATTTCGTGTCCCAGTCAATTACTACGTTGTGTAAGAATGTATCGATCTGAAAACTTTCTTACATAATCAAGAAATATTTTCTGCTAAAGGAACAAAAAAAAATATTACTAAAAATGTATTTATTTCTTTCAAACTACAAAAAAAAACTTGATAGGTGTTACGGGCTCGAGCGCTAAGAGGCCGTAACGCTGTTTGGAAACGCCATGTATTTTTGTTTGAGGTGGCTTGGGCGATTTCTATTGGCTTGATAAAACTTCTGAAATTCTGTAATCATGCAAATAAAGTATGCCAAATTTATTTGCGATAAGAAAATACTGGAGTCAATGACTTTATTTTTTCGCAATTCGCTACTGAAAATTCACCAATTTAACACCTCCTTTTACGGACAGTGGACTCAGAAGTAAATTACACAAACTTTTATTATTAGTACATGATGTTTATGTAAAAACTAGTTAAAAGTTTTAAGAAGAGTGCCTTTATATCAGTTATAATGACATCTCATCAAATTTCGTAATCCTGCTATTTTTCTGAAACAAAATTTGAAAATCATCATTAAAATTTTTTTTTTGCAGATCCACCAAGACCCAAATGTTATTAGTTTATTTGGGTCACGGTAATAGTAAAAAAATATTTAAACACTCAAAAATCCATTTTAAATTTTTGTCTATTCTTAGCCCTATATTATGCAAGTTCTTGTTGAATAACTTATTTATACATTTTTATGGAATGTGCGTTACGAGGAAGAATAAGTTGACCTTAACCGTGTTAGTGTGGCCCTAGTATCATTAGTGACACCTCCTGTAAAATGATGCGCCAGACTTGCCTACCAAAACCTTGCGCCACGTATCACTGGGACCAGGTATCGCAGTGACAGGTGTCATTGCTTCTTGTGACGATCTCAACACGATACAGGGGAGAATATTGCACACCTAGAAATTAGCATTCGCAAGTAATTTTATACGAACAATAAATATGTTTTATATATAACAGACAATAAACATGCGACAATACAAAAGGTATTCACGGTTGTAGGTATCTGTGTGTGTGTGTGTGGGCACGCGCGTGTGTGTATGTGTGTGTACTCACATTGAGTGTGAATGCTGGACAAGCTCGCAGCGCAAGATTGTGGCAAGAGCAGATGCACGTAGGCTTAAGAGGGCCGCTGCCCTTTACATTAAACTACCTGCTGACAGGTACTTACGTCGCATCGCTTTAGTATCGACTATCGAGGTTACTAAGGAGTGATGCGGCGTATACGCTAAGGGCAGTAGGCGTCCCTACTGACTGCGTTTGACGGCCGTGGCTGTGGGCGTTGGGCTAGGGTCAACCTTTGGGATATTAGCCTTTCCATCTTTTGTAGAGTTCACTTGAGACCATGGCAGGATAGAGGAGATATCTAGGATCATCACACAAAAACGCAAGAGAGAGTACATGCTTTACAAAAATGCCACAACATCCCCAAAAATAAAATTAAAACTGCTTCGCAAGGTAAAGAAAAAGGCCCAAGCTAATCAGGCACTCTCTCGACCTTTCCTTTTTCTCTTCTCTTTTCTCTTACCCCTTTTTTACCTATTCTCTTTACCTCTTTTTCATCTTTTCTCTACTTATCTATACTACTAGAGGTGGCTTCATCATGTTATCCCCTGACTACGTGTATGATACCAGGGTGTCTAACTGTACCTCC